ATATGGTTTGTAATAATAGACAAACAAATGCAACTTGCTCCTTTCATTGAACCGTAATCTCACTGACACAGCATCCGAGTGTCAAAGTCCTTGGATCTGTGGTGATAAGAAGCACAACATCTACACAAAGTGAGAGTGCATTGCCTGCCTGCCCACAAATAGATTGTCAACCGATAATGGAAAATGCTATAAAAGGAAGAAAACGAATGGCTTGAATATGTTCAAAACAAGACAGAGCAGGAATCTGCAGGAAATTGATGGAACTGAAAAATGGGATGTTATGGAGCCAACTGAAGTTGTACATACATTATCTTGGTCTTCTTATCACGCAGCTCATCAGACACAGTGTGCAAGTGCTCTCTTACCACTTTTTTCCAGATTGTGCTCACTCAATTATACCCGACTAAATCACGGTAGTACAATAGGCTGTGAAGGATCTCAATCCAAATTTCTGTTATTGCTTGCGGTCAACCACTATTTGCCTAACAAGAAGTACAACGAACTTGGCCTGACCATAGGCAAAGATGGTAGCTATGATGGCTCGGCTGCATATAGACTAGGTTCAATATTTTGTGCTTAACCCAAATGAAGTAGCAGTAACATTTTCTTCGTGTGCAGTGAAAGAGTTAAAGAAAATCGACTGTTGGAACCTGACTATTGAAATGAAGCTTCTCATACTGGCTTTATTCTATCATTTAGAAAGTCAAGCTATGCTTTGTACATAGCAGCACCAACTCACCAGGTTGGTACACAAATTCGAGAAAAGAAACAAACATGAAAAGAAATTGCCACACAAGACCAATCTATAAAAACAAGCCATGATCAATTCAAGAAACGCGTTTCCTCTCTAATTTTGTACAGGAAGTAGGAAGCCCCTTCGAAAAAGGGGTAGGTATTATCTAATTAGCCTCAGTAGATATTGATGATCCATCAGTTCCATAAATTAAAGCATAAAAGCAATCCGGTGTACAAAAGTACTTTTATAGATTGTACTTTCGTTGCTGAAAGACTCGTTCCAGATCCAAACTGATAAAAAACTGTTATACCTCAAAACAGTCCCACATTATTCAGGCATAATAGCAAGTAACAAGCAAGTGCAAAAAAGAAAAAAAATCCCATCAACTAAGATCAACTATGAAAACCGAAAAGTATCTACCATCTTTATCCGATGACAGCAAAATCAGATTATGGACAAAGAGTGATCTGCTTACATATTTAAGTAAAGACACAGATTTGTCAGAAGATGATCATTATAGATGATGCAAGGCTTGCGCAGATGCTGACACCTGGGACATCATTTTTCTACCATACCTGACAAAGAAACTTGAGCATGTGGAAAGACAGCCTAGTGTGGGGGATGATATTTTACCACAAGTTTAAAAGCATCTAACGAGCTAGAACGAGAACGCAAGTTTCCCCTTTTGTTGTTATCCCTGGAAGTTGG